TATTTCCTTTGGTGAAGTATCTGTTCAGGACTTTTGTTCACTTTATAATTGTGCTAGTTGTTTTCTTAAAAGATACAAAACTTCTTGGTCTATTTTGGCTGACCATTCTTCTTCACACTGTCTTTTGGAAATATTTTCTCCAATTCGTGGCTTGTCTTATTCTCTTGGAGACTTGTTTTTTTCTACCCTGAAAAAAATCTTAATGTATTTAAAACCATATTCCAAGCCATACAATATTATAGCCTTAATTTCTTGCCGTTAACAACCTCATTGCCAACTTTCCCGGTTTACACATCAAATTAGTGGGGAGATTTCAAAAATTCTCACGTACACCCCAAATAGGATTTTTACTTTTTTAATAATCTCATTTCAGAAACGTTGATATGTGTCATCTAATAACAACTACTTTGGGTATCGGATTTATTTTATTATTGATCTTTATACACTTATAAAGTTGAGGGATGGAACCTCTCTTTTTTAATAGTGGTTGCTTGCTTCGTGAAGATGTCTTACGATCTGAACATTTCCCATTTCCCATAACAAACACCGAACATAGTGGAGAGCAATGCGGTCAGGAGGCCAGTGTCTGTCTTTCTTGACAGCTAACAATTCACCCCGTCTCAACAATTCCATTCACTTTAAAGAGCTTCCTTGGTAGTAAAGTAGCTTTTCGCTTAATCATGTTGGTCCTTCACTTAGTTATTTTAAATGTAAGTGCCTTGCTATTTTCGTTTCCTCCTCACTTATTTATGTAGACGTTTTCCTTTTTGATCTTTTCTCAGAGGTCATCATGACTGCTCATCTGTCCATTTTAATGTACTGTGGTTATACTCAAAGGGACATGATGTCCCTTCTACCAGCAATTTTAATCTATTCAACCAATGTTAATGGCGAACCTGCAGGGCTGAATTTAGAATCTTTTCAGACAATGTGCAAATGCCACCATGAGCAGAACTACTTGAACTCTTGCATAATCCTGGCACCGGGAGACACAGGGATGAACAACTTTCTGATGTGGTTTAAAAGACAGTGAATCACTGTTGTTCCCCAAACAAGTCTTCTCCTTAGTTTGGTGTAGCTCTGAGAATTCTGATCTTTAATATTTCTCTCCAGCTTATGGAATTCAGATTTTATAGAGTTTTATTTAAAAAAAATACTTAGGAAGAAAAATACAATCATTACTAATGTATAGAACACAACACAGAAGTCTAATAAATTAGCAAAAAAGAGACCCCCGAGGCAATGGTGCAAATAGTCAGCTGTGGAAGGTTTGCTGTATGTAAGTGGGAGGAGACTATTGAAATCTCCCTGCCTTTAGAATGTTGCGTGGTGGTTCACGGGAGATCCCTGACATCAAGATAACTGGGCTGAACAAAACTTAATGTCCCCTTGGAAAGAGGACTGGAAAGAGTGGAAGTGTCAGTCTCTGCACTAATGAACAATTGTGAGAGATCTGAAATCACTGGTGCCCAAATCGTTCAGGGAAGTGCTTTAACCACGCTGTAGTGTGGAGTACTTCTGCTGAACCGTGGCGTCTGATGGAAAAGAACCAAATGTGCTTAGAGGTGGAAATCCTCTTGAATCCATCTTTGTATCCATGGAAACTAGCACAGTTCTCGGCGCACCATAAACTCTTCCTAAACAAATGGCTGGTGAGTAAGGCCAAAGGCACAAGGCAGTGCTGGCTGATGCTTACCGCGTTCCTACTCTATCCAGGCATTGTTTCAGGAACACACATAGTCCATTTCATGCTTAAACAACCCCATGACATAGGTACTATTAACATCTCCTTCTGTAAAAATTAGGAAACTGGGGTCTAGAGAGGTTAAATAACCTGCCCGATTAAATATGTTAGAGATAAAAAG